CCCGCCGTATTTGTAATCACTTCCTTTTGTTTATAATAACTTTTAGATCGATGAATAGATTATAATATTTTACTGACCCATCCAGCCTACGAATAAAGTGAATTCAATATTCATGAATGAATGATCAGTTATTCTATGAATATTAGTTTATGTTAACTTTAACGAATATTTATGAGTTCTCCAACATGATAACTTACATTAACTTATAGCTTAAAATTTATAACTAAATTTAATGAATGAAATAACTCGAAAGGAATAGAATTTCAGTCAGTGAAATGTTTACTAAAACATTCGGTTTGTTTGTTTGTCTGTTTTTACTGCAAAGCAGTTAACTCCTATTTTTATGATAACATAACCATGATGATATTTGTGCTGAAAGCGTTCATAGTGGTATGATACTTTTCGGAGAATTCCGGCAGTAGGAGGGTTTATAAATCGATCGATTTTATTGTTTCAGAATGTTGGTGGTCGGACAGACAACACAGTGGTTTTGAAAGTTCATCAGTTTGGTTGTGTGCGCTGGTTTGACTCAACATAATTTGAAATCAGGCTGAATAAGGTAATTGTCATGCCTTCTAACAATTAAAATATAATGCTTCTAATATTACGAGGCAATGTTCTAAAACAACAACTAGCATTACAAAACAAATTTCCCGCTTTATTTATTACGCAACTCTGGAGGAGTATTTTGGCGCTCAGATAAGACTGTGTTTTAGAAGAAGCCAGAATTTTCAACCGCCAGATAACTCATGACAGTACCGTTTGTAAAGGAGTGCAATTTATTCTTGATAATCTCCGAAGGAGCGAAACCTACATTGGACACCATCCCGAGTGCCTAGTGCCTCTGATCAGTTGAATGGGTTAATCCCAGCTCGATACTCTAACTTATTCCTGACATGTTTTGGGGGTCAATACTATCAAGTTGCTCGAACCTGAACCGTACTTGTTTAGGAATTCTTATTTCAAGCCCAACCCGTGTAGGGTTGCAGAGGCTGGTCTTCTAGTTCAATCAGTGGCTCCAAAGAAATTTATCGCTGGCTATTTAAAACAGAGGAACACTATAACTTTTCAAATTCAAGTAAATTCGTTGAACCTTCAAGTGAATCCAACCAAACGCATTGCATTGAGAACCCCACAGGACGATTGGTGTTTCGGTCATCAAATGTCACCGATTGGACCGGGTCTGTCTAAACCCCGTCCAGTTCGAGTGAGATAATTTCTTCGAAAACAAACAAAATTACTGTTTAAGTGAGTTACCGAGCGAAGATGAGTTTCCGTGGGGTTTCCGATGGGTTGTTCGTCCTCTCCCTACCCCCACTCGGGAACGCCATGTGCATGATCGTTGAATGAGCGTGCGTCCTAGACGCGAATGAAAGAACGTGGCGTTAATTCACCTCTGTCAGTCGGATAGAGAAATGAATCACGTCAAGATGGATTGATAAATCGGTCATCATGCACAAACATGAATGTTGGAATGAATCGTTGCATGAATGGGTTTAGTCTATGCCATCGATATCCTAGGGAGTAAATTCCAATGGAGCCGTGATTTTTTCAAATAACACCGATGGTTTTGAATCAAATGTGATTGCCTACGTATTTGTGGCATTGAAACGCATGTTTGACGAAATATTGCAGTTAGCTTTTCCCCTCGAATCACTCGCCACAGAGATCAAGGATGATTCTTCCTCCGTCCGCAATGAAAATAAATCCAACTGTTGATTATTTAGACAAAACTGGAATAGATTCCAGTGGTCGACAGTTTGTGCCATTTGTACTCCAACGAAAAGCAAAATGTCCATCTGCCGAACCTAATCTATTGATTTTCCATGATCTTTTACTTTCAACGATGAAAGAACTGCCCGCATTAATTTGCCTGTAATCCCCACGTGCCATGGAAAACACTACCTGCCGAGGGACTGCCTCTGTATGAATTTATTCACAAACGCAAAGTGGATAGCCTACGTGCTGTAATTGTAAATGTGCTCTAAAGTTCATGAAATTTCTCAAACTCCCGGCCTATTGACTTCAATAATGATAGAACTTTCTGACTCATGTCTCCCACTCACAAAAATGTTAACTGCTTAAACAAAGATCAAATGTATTAATAATCAAGCATTTTGATAGCTGTTGGATTATGCCCGCGAACATGAATAGATGCATACTGACAATGATCTTTCGTGATTTGAGACTTGGTATCACCAGCAATGCTTTCCAAACATGCAATTCTCTAATTCTATTTGTTCATTGGTCCTTCAGGATCACCGTCATGATCTTGATATGTTGATTTCGGGGGTCCGTTTTGATGTTACTTTTCGTAATGCTCCATATCATTTCAATCGGATTAAAAGCTAGAGAACATGCAGCAAATCTGAGAATGCTCAGTCTTCCGCCGGCAACCACATTTTTCAGTTTAGAGTGACAGGGCGCGTTGCCACACGCAATCACATACGATTCGTGCTCTTCTTGCAATAATTGACCAACAAGCGTTTGCAGGCATTGCAAACTCAGTACGGAGTTGTAGGATCTTCATTTCAGAGTATAATTCAACAACCCATCAGCATTCAAAGCATCTATGATGTGAAGATTCCTTCCTCTTGAACTGGCCACTGGTATCCAACACCGTTGACCTCCTGGTCCACGCCCAAAATTTCTTGAACAATTGAAATTGTAGTTGATTTCATCAATCCGTATCATCTCATGTCCAACTGCTTCGTATCACTGCAAGTGTTGAACATATCTAGCAAGAAATGACCCGAAAACAGGTCATCCTATTACTTTTTCCTCTTCTATTTATTATCCAGTAAGTTCATTGTTACTGGTATTTGATGAATTTTATTGATGGCGATCAGTTTTCCATCTAACCAGTTGCTGATGGTTATAATAAAAGCTTTTTTATTTTATTCGGTCTTGAGTTTCATTCGTAGAAACGACAGTGTTACAATGGAATTCTCCTCAGTCCAAGAAATCAGTTCTTTTACACTGTGGTTCGATAAGTTATTGAACCGTCTTCCGCCATGGGTTAATGCTGAAAATTCTTCCTGGTGTTTTCTTATCCATGCCATCACTGTTCTCATCTTCATGCAAAGTGATGCAGTGACAATGAACCAGTCATCGCCATTGTCAAACGTCCGTGGTATCCCATACTTAAGGCCCATTGCTAGATGCCACAGCAAGGAACTTAGATGTGACTATCACACGGCAAATCATAGGGTATTATTATCAAGTAAGTAAACTAATCCACCCATGATTATTATATTTTTGAATAAGAATCATAACTTGTCAGTGTTCCTCTTTCATATTGCAACTACAGCACAGTTGCCTAATAATAATCCAACAGACTATTGTTACCATCACAAACTCCTTTGACTGCTTTGTTGTTTCCAGTCCATCGTTTTCACAGAGATTAGGTTCTGCGTCATCCCAGTTATTTAGATCGCATCAACGGATGTCCATAAAGCACGACAATGGGTGACGCCGTTACCACAATAATGAGATCGGATAAATTCGACAGATTTCTCATTCAGATTATTTAAGTGGAATATAAGAAAATGTGGTTTCCTCATCTTGATGAGCAGTCTGACCTATTTGGTCATGCTTTATGAACATTCGGTGATCCACAGTGCATCGGTCGTCGCGCAGGATGATCACAACCGCGCTGCCCATTGCATCGAACGGGATGGGTGGCGATATGTGAGCTACTGCTCAGATATCTCAACCTTTATTCAATTCTGTCTACCATGCCCAGACCTTCCCCTTTACCCCTTCTTTCAACCGTAACCTTCCGTCAAACAACTTGTTCGTCACTCCCAAAAGTTCGTTACCAAGTAGCACGGTAAGTAGCTTGCCACAAAATAGATTGTAGACTCTAAAGCCTAGTATATCACTGAATCTGGGACCTTCAACGTGAGGACTCTGGTGCATGTAGGTAAACAAGCGCGTCTGTCGCGTACCATGGACTCTTTGGGGACTGATGTCTGCCGCGTCTCGGAGACGTGAATCATTTGCCTTGTACTCGATTAAATTGTATCAAATGGTAATGGGTGATCATAACTCATAGTTCAATTCACACACTTCTTGAGTCGTCTGTGTATCTCGTTCGGTAAGTCGACCGCTCTGTTTCGACAGTTTGTTGTTCGTTAAAAACAACTCGCAGTTGTCAATCACGGCAAAATGGACAAAACGAATGATGGCAAAACAGATTTGATCTGACTGAACACATCAAATTTAAGTTTTCCGGAATCGTGCGAAAAAATCAACCATCTCAAACCACTAAAATAAAAACAGGTAAATTTATCTGCGAAAAATGCACAAGTTTATATTAGCGGATTCGTTCAGAGTGAAATAAATATAATCCGGAAAAGGCAAGTGACTACAGAGAAGTTGAGTAATAATGTGAAAAGGGTTGTGTCTTCAACCGCCCAGTTCAGTTGAGAGTAGAAAAAATGTCACTGCCTTCCACCTTTATGATAGGTGGCTCGTTTACACAATCCTTCGTGGTACCACTCAATCGGGAAATATGCTGGAGAGTGGCATCCGCGGTGCCACTTGACCTTTTCCCTTATCCGACATTCAATGGCACCGTGGATATCACTTCATAACTCAGTTCCCGGATTCTTCATGAATTCATCAGTGGTGGCAACTGTTCCTCACTCTAGAAAATCGCGGATCAATTTTTAGACAACCGTGGGTAGGAAAATTTATCCATCTTAACGTGATACTCCTTTGAGCCTCCAGTACTGAGTTATCATCGTTTATGGGACCGTAGATAACTGTAACTCATTCTTATCACCACCTGTCTCATTGACTGAAATATCCGGATCGAACGGACGCAATCAGGATATGAAAAGATGCGATGGATTGATCAATGAAACAGTAACCATAAGAACATAGACGATGAAGCTGTGTAGCGAAGGGAGAAGCTGTAGGTGACAGATCGTTGTCATTGGCATTGCAGATTGAATGTAATAGTCAGCCCGGGAAAGACAGAAAAATGTGATCTCTGTAATCTAGTGGTTAGGTTTGAATTTGATCTTCGTATTTAGGTGAAATACTATTAATTCTATCATTGTATCCTTGTACCATTGTTAAGTACCTTGTCAAGTGTGCGTTTCAATGCCACAAATACGTAGGCAATCACATTTGATTCAAAACCATCGGTGTTATTTGAAAAAATCACGGCTCCATTGGAATTTACTCCCTAGGATATCGATGGCATAGACTAAACCCATTCATGCAACGATTCATTCCAACATTCATGTTTGTGCATGATGACCGATTTATCAATCCATCTTGACGTGATTCATTTCTCTATCCGACTGACAGAGGTGAATTAACGCCACGTTCTTTCATTCGCGTCTAGGACGCACGCTCATTCAACGATCATGCACATGGCGTTCCCGAGTGGGGGTAGGGAGAGGACGAACAACCCATCGGAAACCCCACGGAAACTCATCTTCGCTCGGTAACTCACTTAAACAGTAATTTTGTTTGTTTTCGAAGAAATTATCTCACTCGAACTGGACGGGGTTTAGACAGACCCGGTCCAATCGGTGACATTTGATGACCGAAACACCAATCGTCCTGTGGGGTTCTCAATGCAATGCGTTTGGTTGGATTCACTTGAATTTACAGTGTATCGGCTGATCGAGTTTTCCGATGAATGCCAAGCTTCCAGAAATCATTTTGCTTGACATCAATCAAGTCTACACCCCTGTGCAACAAAAGAGGCAATCAGCGCAAAGAAGGCGGTTCTTGTAACACGCCACAACATGGCAACACTGAACCTGATCGACCAACAACTAACCCTCAGATAGCTCGCGTCCTCGTCATCCCTTATCGACACAAGGCGAACAAATATCAGCGAATCAGGCAAGGCCACGTCTCTACATTTCTCAAAGAGCTATATAACGAAAAAGACACTGGCATGCTCGCACCCAGTTGTTTTACTGCGAATGTCGCCTCGATTGGTGATGAAACCTTTGCAATGGAATTGCCAAGCTCGGCGAACAACTAAACATCAAGTTGAACTATCCGAATTAGAAAAAAACTGGTTGATATCTTTCAACTTCTACCAAAACAGGCCTATTGGTACGTGAAAGCAACTCCTAGTGTGCACAGGTGACAACCTGCATCAAACAACCATCCACGGTACTCACGTCGAGCTCGTGCTTCCTCTTCAATATTTTCACTGCTTCCTCGGACTGGACTTGCTGCTGACGCAATTTGGTTTTCAGCGCGTAATTCTCGTTACGAATAGCGCGAATTTCTGCTCTGGCTTCGTCTTTTGCGTTACTTAAGCCTTGTAAAGATTCTCTCTTGGCTTCTGCTTCTCTTGAGTTTTGCTCGAACATCAAATGTTTCAACTTTTGGCGATATATCTAAAAATGCGGAAGAGAACGGTTTGGGAGTTTCAATGGTTTGTGTATGACTGCGTGTTTCGTGCGATTGAACGGAGTTATCTATTTTCCCCCAACTTATATTATGTAAATATATCACCATAAATACAAACAGGTTATCGTAGAATCAAAATTAAATTCAATGGAAGATTTCATCGCGCGAGAGCGCATAAATACAGCATGAAACGATCATGACTGATAGAATTTCAGTGCAAAATATCTATTTGTTAATTACGAATGTAACTTGTGATCAGAAGCTTTGTTGTGATTTAAGTCTTATTTTCTCTCTCAAGGAAGGTGAATTCGTTTTAACTTGTATTTCATACATTCGGCATTGCAACACGGGGGTTGAGCAAAATGTTTCCGGATACAACGTACACTTACGGGGTTCAGATGACCGGGCAAGGAAAACGTGAATGGTAATCTATTGTAAATATTGTTCAGTGGTTGAACCTCACAGAACTAAATATTAACTGCCAAGCACAGCTCACAAGTCATGAAGGTCGGTATACTCAGGCTGTAAGAATGGAACTCAGTCGATATCACTGGAGGACGATGATTTCATGCAAATGCAAATATGGTTTAAAGCATCAACCGAGTGTTGATTATTTGCGAGCTGCCTTTGTTGATGACATCTTCAAGCAGCAATGTGTTTGAGTGGTTTGTGGAGTTGAAGGGTGTCAGTCGGTCTCTGAAGGATGATACACGATGTGGTTGGACTTTGCGGGCCGCCATAACGGAAAAAATGCTGCTGTGCAAACAATGATGGAGGAGGAGGATGCGGGTGACAGCGAAACAGCTGGTAAAAGTCACCGGGATCTCATCGGGATCATGCCGCACCATCTTACATGAGAAGCTATGCCTCAAAAAGATTTGCGCAGGCTGGGTACCCCCTAAGCTCTGTGAGGAACGGAAAGTAGTTCGGGTGAAATGGTGCCACACTATGCTTGCCAGGTTTGATGATGAGCGTTCTAATGCAGTTTGGGAGATCATCAGTGGTGATCAAACCTGGGTATACAGTTCCGAACCAGTTATCAAGTAACAATCGACTCAATGGACGCCGGTTGGCGGTACACCGCCTCAGAAAGTCCAACGCGAGCGCAGTGACATAGCAGATGGTGGCTTTGGTACTGGTCAAAAACGTTCATGTGGTTACTGTATCGCTCTTACAGTAAAGCACAGTCACCGGAGACTGATAACGCCGCCCACTATTTGTCAAAAGTGCTGGAAGCTGTTGCCAGGCGTCGTCCAAGGACTCGAGCACGAGAGGGCCTTACTGCACAATGAAACCGCACCTGCACACAAGTACCATGTCTTCAACGGTTGTCTGGCTAAAGAACACATTCAGGAGGTTGGTCACCCACCCTGCTGTCCAGACCTGTCTCTGTGTGTCGATTTTGAGTTCCTCAAATGTCAAGCGCATGATGCGTGGAATCCAATACGGGTCAACAACAGCTGTAGTGGAGGCCTTCATTGAACTGGTAGATGGGCTACTCGCTTTGGCATGAGCGAGTTGTTTAACCAAATGGTTTGAGCGCATGAAACTGTGCATGATCACTGATGGAAAATACTTCGAGAAAATGAAATTATTATTTTTGGAACAAATGAAACCTTTTCTGCATCCGGAAATTTTTTCTCGGCCCTCTTATATATGCATTAGTAATTTATATCATTACTATCATGAGAAATAAATAAAATATCTGCAACACATATGTATATGTAGCAAATGCCGGACAAAAGTGACTTGAATTTTTCAACAGAAAATACTGTTGATAGCGGTGAGCCTTGTTCTTTGAGTTGACGAAACTCCTGGGTTAACAATGGGAGAGTGAATAGATTCTAACTCAATGATGGTAGTCGCTTATCTCGCCGATTTACAAGAAAGGTGACAGGTCCTCTTGCGAAAACCACATAGAACTTAGTTTAATCAACATTGTTTCTAAGCTGCTCGCTGGTACTATCCTCCGTCAATTGTTTGCCCCACATGGGAAATGCCCGCGTGAGAACCACTCGGTTTTAGAGCTGAACGAGTTTGTTCAGCCCAAACCGTCACTCACCGTAAAATTCTAGAACACAGACACTCCTGTCATAGATTCATCAATTCCGTCTTTCTCCATCTGAAAGCGGCTTTCGATTCCGTCTACCGCTCTACATTCCACCCCCGTCTCTCTCTGAAGGGTGTGCCCTAGAAGTTTACTTTAACTTTTACATCTCGTTATACTTATAACCGAAGCCTAGTCCGAGCTTACGGCACCGTTTCGCTCGAATTTACCACGGAAAGTGGTATTAGTCAGAGTGGCCCTATTCTATTTAACTTTGTCATAGACTGGATATTCGGAACATCCATATCCTCTTGCGAGGATTGCGGCATCGGTTTGTCTCCAGGTAGCTTACTCTCATCTGGATTATGCAAACGACGGTGTACTGCTAAACGCAGATCCGGATGAGTTTCAAGCTGTTCGGGATAGTTTGAGTGCTAGTACATCCATACTCATCATGCGTTTTACTCCTTCGAATTGTAAAATGTTGCTACAAGATTGGGTTGGCCCAATCTCCATCTTCACTCTAATTGGGGAAGCAGTAGAGAAACTAGATAAGTTCAGACATATAGGAAGCTAAATCGCACCTAGTGGACGTATCACGGTTGAAGTATCGGCACGTTGGGATATTTGTTACGTGGATAAATGTCACGGGTGGTCAAAATAAGACCTGGCATGAGGGTATGAAAACCCTAATCGGGAGGCTCGATCATATAGGTCGCGTTAAGCTCCCTGGATGGGTACCTCGAGATCATAGTAACCGGTGATTAGAGCCACTGATTGGCATAACTGAGTGTTGCAAACAGTGGCATTCGTGCATCTACTCACTATGCTTGCAACCCCAACTTCCCACTTCTATTTGACTCTGCTCTCAATATTCCGTTCTACCTTCTGATTTTTTATCCGACTGCCGAAATACAGCAATCGAAACCGGCTCACGAAAGTGCATGGTTAATGCTTTTATAAACTGAATTGTACTGTTGGGAATCACGCCGAGGTAGTGCGTTCGTAATCTTGCGAAAGGATTCCACAATAAATCTACAAAGCACATTTATGTGCCTAACCTTCCAGTGAGACACACCATATACTATCAATTTCAGTTGCTGCGATATGTAACACGAGCTACATTTCGGTCTGTCCAAGGAAGAACACTGTCCTCAGCATTCCACAGACAAACACACCAGGGAATGATCCCATGCCCGTCGTGTATTAGGTGCGTCGGTTGAAAGTCTTCTACAATAACTGAACACGGATAGTGTGCGGTATATTGGGACAACGCCTGTGGCGTCAGAGACTCAAATCGCATTATCTGTAGCCAATCTTCTGCTACTGTATCGCATGATTATGAAGCAAGAATTGTGAGTATAATGCTATCTCATTCATGGTAAGGCCAGTAGGGGTCTCCTCTTATTCAATACTCTATGAATTCATTACCTTCCTGCGCAGACTTATACTTCCGTTTTTATTATAATTGAGCAATGTCCCGTTCATATTCAGTATTTTATACATTTCGATATCGTTCCACCCAACATATTCTCCATAGTTTCATTGTTTCTATCAAACTGGTAAATACATAACGCATACTCAAACAAAAACTCTGAATTTATTCAGTTTTCTTCTAGATAATTTCTAGGTAGTTTCCTGAGGCAATCTTTATTTGTTTTCATTCCAAGCTCTTTGGTTTAATTGGCATTTTAATTAAACAAGTGATCAGGAAGGGAAGTTCTTTTTATAAGTAGTTTTACGTCCTTTTTGTTCAATAAGTACGAAATTTCAGGAAGGGGGCTGCAGTAACATAGAGACTGTCTGAGAAAGTAAAGAAATTGGAAGGATGGGCGCTGTTGGCGGGTTTCGAAGTCAAGACCTCCAGGTCGCCATTTTGATGCCCTTAACCACTCGATCACCGTCATCGCGATCCGGAAGGGAAGTGCAGTTGTAATTTTTTTCAATTGAAACAGTCGAGGTTTATAAACGTAGTGTGTTGCAAACATGAAAACCTAAGTAATTTTAATTTTGACCAAACAATTATTTGGAGAACCATTCCTGGCACATCCGTCGGAAATCTGCAGATAAAAAGGGATAATGGTAGCTGAACGACACTTTTTGGTGCAATTATAAAAGCCAGGAAAATAAGGTGCGCGTGAGCACCGTTTCCAAGGAAATCCATCCCCATCGTTCGATATTAACCCCAAATATTCACATGCTACTTGAATTAATCGAAGGATCGATGTTTCCATACTTGCAGGTTTTATATACTCATCCGTTTCTGCCTTGCTGATCCACACCAGCCCGGTGAAGAAATCTACTAAGAAGAATGCGCTACACTTAACCACCTAAGAGAAAAAATTATGAAATACAATCAAAACAAACTGTTTGCAACCTCCGCCTATTATAGATATTCGATAGCACCAAGACGGCGAACAAATATAAGCATCAATTCGACCAGTTAAATGATGTGTGATATTTCAGGAGATGATATTAACACTAACTTATCATTCGTAATCGTCACGCTGAAAATATAATGCATATATATATGTAATCTTTTCCAAGCGTAGATAAACACTGTGACTGTTTGAATCTTTGTTCTCGATTTCCTTGTTAGGCAAGAGGTTACAGACTAAACATGCTGTATACCAGTCTACAAACGTTTGATCCAGCAGTTTTTTTACTCAGAAGACTCAAAACAATTTTTCTTTTATAATTTATTATTTTGGATTCCACTTCTATGTAATGAGTATGTTTATGGGAAACACAACCATAAAGTTGGTGAATAAGTAACCCTGTCGCTCCAGTTCTTCAGTCCTAAATGTTCAAGGCAACTACCTTATTAGATATGACTTCGCAAAAAGCAGGTTTAAATTATCATGAATTAAAGTTTGTAAGCTATGAATGGGGAATTTCTCAAAGCATCAGAGATATTCCTGTAAAGTTTTGTGGGATCGA